TCCTACATCATTCTTCTGCAGGAAGCTAAGAACCAGTGTCTGCTAAGACATAATGGATAATTGGAAGGGATGTTTTCTTAAAAGGCCAAGTGTTATCTTTGAATGCCATTTTATTTACTTTTTTAAAAGATTTTATTTATTTATTTGAGAGAGAGAGAGAGAGCACGAGAGTGGGGGGAAGATCAGAGGGAGAAGCAGACTCCCGAGGAAGGAGCCCAATGGGGGACTCGATCCCAGGACCCTGGGATCATGACTTGAGCCGAAGGCACCCACTTAACCAACTGAGCCTCCCAGGTGCCCCTAAAGAGCTCCACCTTCCAAATGGGGCTGAGAACTATACCGAGAGTTACACAGAAAGAAACCTTCCATCTTCGATTGTTCCTCTAAGAGCAAAAGAGAACGTCGATAAGGCTCACTGATTCACATTTGCCCTTCCCTTCTGTTTGCAGACTACTATCTCCATCAGGAGGCAGCATGGGCAGGAGGCAAAGCTGAGTGATGACTGTCCCCCCCCCCCCCCCCGACTTCATTCCCTGGGGAGTGAAATTAACACCTACCTGGCTTGCACTTCTACACACAGTATCTGACTTAATCCTCACAAGTGGCAAGGTAGATGTGATGCTGATCACCTTTTTGGACATGTGGGTTTTTCCCACACAACTAAGCAGTTCTCTGACACCAGCTGGGTGTCCTACAACTCCACTCGATTCTGACACCATCTACCTAGAGACAGCGTTAGATCCCACAGGTGAAGATCTCAGTTCTACAAAACTGCACACATCCCCCCCTACTTCAGATGTTGGTTGCAAGCCCAAGTTATCACCTGTACTTCTGACTGACTGGCTATGTATCTCGAAGATTCCCACGACCTCCTCTGTGGGTTAATTTGCCAGAGTGGCTCACAGAACTCAAAGAAGCATTTTACTTACTAGATTACCGGTTTATTATAAAAGGATGTAACTCAGGAACAGCCAGGTGGAAGAGATGCGTAGGGCCATGTAAGGGAAAAGAACACGGAGCCTCCATGCCCTCCCCAGGCACACCTCTCTCCCTGTGCCTCCGCATGTTCACCAACCTGGAAGCTCTCTGAGCCCCATCCTTTCGGCGTTTTATGGAGGCTTCATCACATAAGCAGGATTGATTAAATCATTGGCCTTTGGCAATTGAACTCCATCTCCAACCCCTCTCCTCTCCCCAGTGGTGGGGGGCTGGGAAAGAAAGGTCCAACCCTCTAATCACAGGATTGGTTCTCTTGGCAACTGGCCCCCAACCTTTGGGACTTTCTAAAAGCCACTGCATTAACATAACAGAAGACACCTTTATGGCTCTTATCACTGTGGGAATTCCAGGGGTTTTAGAGCTCAGTGCCAAGCATGACCAAGAACAAATATAAGTATTTCCCAATCCATGGTATAGAGCAAGGAAAAAAGATCCAGATGACCAGGACTTGGCGGGGGGAGGTGGGAGGTGGGGGGTGCTGGGGGGGGTAAAATTGGTGTCAGGGATCTGAAGATTATTAAAAGGCTTTAAAAACAAACAAAACAAAACAAAAACAGAAAAGGCCAGGCCAGGGTAGCTAGAGCAAAGAGCGAGACTGTTAGGGATCTGAGTCTTTTTCCACAGAGCAAAGAGAAGCCAGGGGAAGGCTCTCCCCCGGGGGGTGGGGGTGGGGGGGTGACAGGAAGGCATCTGAATTCTGCAGAAGTCTCTCTGTGCAGATGAAGCAGGACAAGAAAGAAGACAGGGAGTCAGCCTATGGCAGCTATCCTGTAAGAGATGTGGTGACTGGGACAGGTGACAGCAGGGGAGCTGAAGAGAAGAAAAGACATCTGACATCGCTTCTGGTGCTGGGCCATTTGTCAGGGGTGGAGGAGAAAGGAGACTCACCTATCTTTTCAGATCCCACAACAAAATGTTCACAGACTTTCCCTCCTGAGCTTAAGCTTTCTCACAGAATAAGGACAATGACGTGGCCTTTCCTATATGAAAGTGGTACCACTTTACGCAAACATATTTCAAAGATAAGACCAAGACTGTTATTGAGAAGGAGCCCTCAAGGTGAGGGAAAAACTTTTTTTTTTTAAACCAGCTTCAAAACTAACAAAATCACTCAATGCGCTATATAACACAGGAAGAACAAACTTTGGAGCCCTAGAAACTAGGGTCCCACTTGCAAGTCTAACTTTCTCAGATGTCTAACCGAGGCTGCATTATCCTACCTCTGAGTCTGTTTTCTTATCTGTAAAGAAGGGGTAACACCATCACTCCTCCCGGGGTTGTCCTGAAGACGAAGCATCAACATGAATCATGAATGGCAGGAGCCAGAAGCAGTCACTATTATTAATATAAAGCAGCATACTCCTTTTAGCCATAAACTACAGCTCTCATTGAAGGAATGAACCTTTTAACTTCTACTATAAAACATAATATTGTACCCAATAAAAATCTTAGTTGTAAATTCTGTTATATAAGAACACACTAAGGGCTGCCTCGGTGGCTCAGTCGTTAAGC